AATAAACGTGTATTAATTTCCTATTAGAATCTGTTACTGCCAAAGGAAGCCTGAGAAGACATCATGACTTGATGGCTCAGTGCAAGGTGGGAGTTTAGATGGGACTTTCAACAGCAAAAACAAAACTGGGCAAAAATGTAAGTCAATTACAGGTGCATTAGGGGAAATGTCCTACAGCAAAGTGTTAATACTAGGGGAAGCTAGCTATTGTATCAGTTCTGAGGAGACAGAGGTGGGGAGAGCCCAGCCCCAGCCTCAGGGCTTACAGCCTGTTACCCAAGAGTTGACACATCACTGAATCTGATGGTCCTATTGTACCCAGTGATGGTAATAACCCTTCATTGTATGTAAAATTCCTACTATAGTTTCAAAGTGCCAATTGGTACATTCTGTAACCTAGACAAACAGGAATGGAAAGTACCCCTACCTTGTGCTAATGGGAAAAAAACAAAGCCCATGGGACTCATGGGTGTACTCCAGGCCTCTCGGTGGGCAGTGATGCTGGGAAAGACATCAGCCTCTGATTCTTTGTCTGATGTTTCTCTCCAAGCTACTTGAACTCCAAAAAATCAGACCAAAGAAAAGGCCAGTGCCCACAGTCTGTAGCCTTGAGCTACAGCAGGTCCTCTTCAGGATACCTGTAAATGACTCCACTGGCAGGGCCATGGTAGCCAGTGGGTAGCCCAGCTCACTCAAAGATCCAGTTGTTCTGATCAAGAATCTACCCTAAGAGATGAGCCCAGAGCAGTGCCTGGTCATTAACCCAGGAATCTGCAGAGAGGGTTTTGTCTGCTAATGAACTACAGAACACTATGCCCAGACACTGCTCAGTGGTTTATACCAAACCTTCCTCCTTCTCCTTCCCAGTTCTGCTTGGCCAATCAGGTGTAAAGGGAAATCTGCCATGGAGTTCCCAGGCAAGCTTCTTGATTTGAGCAAATGCTAGTTCCCTTCTTCCCTTGAATCTTGCAGCTCTGAGGGAAATACCAGGAAAATCTCTCAGCACTGGTGAGGATGTCGACCAGCAGCCACTGCCTTTTAGGTAAGAAAATAAGCCACGTTGTTTCCAACCACCAAGTCAAATCCTGTGGTTGTAGAATGCATTTCAGGGAGCAGTCTTTTTTGAGATAGACTCACTATGTAGCCCAGGCTGGCCTAGAACTCATGATCTTCCTGCCTTGCCTCCTGAGTGCTTGTGTTACAGTTGTGAGCCACTACACTTGGCTAGAATGAATTCTTGATTTAATAATGTAATAGTAGAAAGAAAGGAAGTTTTGGAGACAGATACATTGCAATTCTGCTCAGTTATGTGAGTTACCCGCCCACCCTGAAACTCAGCTTCCTCGCCTGTAAAATGGGAATAACAAGAGTTACTGGAAAGCAGAAATAAGGTAACTATGCAGGCACTCAGGCTATTGGGAAAACAGAATTTGCTGTTCATAATCCTGTTAGATATATGGACTGCTAGGAAACCATCGTTGATTCTTTACAGTGTGTTCACAATGAAAATAAATCTTATCTTACATACTTTCTCATCCTTTAAAAAATTTACACAATTTACTTTCCTGTTATGATCCACAGTGCAAGTACTTCTGGTAGACATGCCTTTCACCCATAATAAATAGTTACTCAAGAAAAAATATTTATTGAAGCTGCTCGAATAGCTGGTAAATATTTGTTGAACTCATTCTTTGTTTAGACTCCATGCCAGATATCTCCATGCTAAAAAGATCAGAAAGATGAGAACTCTCACCAGTGATGTTTGATATCTACTAAAGGATGTATAAAAGTTAAAATAAAACAGTGTCAGGGCTAGAGACATGGCTCAGCAGTTAAGAGCACTGGCTGCTCTTCCAGAGGACCCAGGTTCAATTCCCAGCACTCACATGGCAGCTCACAACTGCCTGAAACTCTAGCTCCAGGAGATCCAACACACTCACACAGACATGCAAGCAGGCAAAACACCAATGCACATAAAACAAAAATAAACAAAAATAAAATAAAATAACAGTGTCTGCAGTCAAGAAAGAGAGTTGAGATATGGGTAAAATCCTGATACGAATTTCATATTAGTTGAATAATTGTAAAACAGTATTTTTCCTTCAGCAAATATATTATGTAGATATTCAACTGAATTATCAGAAAACCCAGATATTAAAGCTCAAAACAATTTCCTCTCATTCTAGAAAGAAACTTCATGTTTCCCATTCTGTGATGATCAGATGCCTGGGCTCAGTCTCAGCCACTGTATTTACAGCCAGGGTCAGGGTGTCCTTAGCAGAGTCATTTAGCATCTTTTTGCCCCAAGTACCCCATCTATGAAAGGGGGACTATTGTGGTACACAATACATAGGATTATCACAAGGACTGAATGATTTTTATTTATTTATTTATTTTTTTGGAGACAGGGTTTCTCTGTGTAACAGCTCTGGCTGTCTTGAAACTTACTTTATAAACCAGGCTGGCCTTGAACTCATGGAGATCCACCTGCCTCTGCCTCCTGAGTGCTGGGATTAAAGGCATGCTCCACCACTGCCCAGGAATGATTTTTAATACTGCCTGATTCCAGCAGGAACCCTACACAGTCAGTCAGTGATTATTATGTAATTATTTTCCAGGATAAAATTGTAGCTTATGCTTACTTCTGAACACTATCAGATCCTTGTCAGTGTTGATCTCTTCTGTGCTCTGTATAAGCTTGTAACTTTCCAAATTTGGAGTGCTGTAGTGCCCCTCCCTACCCTAGGTCCCCAGAGTGATGAAGGTGGCTATGGTCCTGGAGAGTAACTGGAGCATCCATGCTTGGGCCAAGGTTGGAAAGCCAGGGCCTGGATGCCATTGTGTGTCCTGCTGGAGCTGGCTATGCACAGGGACTCCTGTCACCTTCTGTCTGGAGAACAGGCAGTTCCGGCCTCTCTAGTGCTCCATCTGTTCCTGCACCACAGGGACCCTGGTCTCCTTACCTCTCCCTTCAGGGCTTCTTCTCATTACCTCTTCCCCACATGGTTGCTTCACCACAACTGTTTCAAGGTGAGCACAACCCCAACAGAGCTACCAACCAGAAGCCACATTCCCTCAAGTCCTGTCTGTGCAGCCAAGCATCCCAATAGCCAGGACACAGCCTGGACAGCCCCAGCCCCAGCACGGCCCCAGCTCCGGGCTGTACAGGCTGTCCTGCTGCTCTCAAAGCACGGTGCTCAGGTGCTCGGACTTGAGGAAACAGACATTAAGAAGCACAGATTTTGGTCATTCTACCACGAAATGAGACCAAACGGAGCTCATCTCTCGGCTGGAACAGTGAAAACTGCCAGGGAAATACCATTCAATGTGGAGAACTGGAGGAAACCATGATTAGTTCATTTCATTAAGTGTTTAGGGGAAAGAGGCAACATGGTCTGTGTGTTACTGCCCTCCAGTGTTCACTAGCATCAGAGATGCTTGCGTTTTACTGGGAACAGCCCTTCTGTGAAGTCTTCTTGGACTCATTTTGATGAAGATGGCTTGCTTTGTTCAATGTCCAGTGAGTTTTCATGTCTTCCTGGGTTACAAGTTTGCTATTCAGGAAAGTAAGCCTACAAATCAAAGTAGCAACGACAGCGGCAGCAGAAAGAACCCACATGGAAAGGAGGACTGGGCACCCGAAGGGGTTGTTCTGAATGTGAAACAACACGGTAGAGTTTTCTGAAATGGAAACTACTCAGAAAAGAGAAGGCAGTCCCAACTTCCAGCCCATGCAGTCCACTATCCATAACAAAAGTCAACTGTCTCTCTCTGACTGTGCAGCTCTTAGATATCAGGGTTTTGTGCTTTGGAGTTTGACAAAAACAATGAACCAATTGATCTCTGTTCGGCATCTCCAAGGACAGCTGCATTCAGCTGCTTCTGAGTAAACATTGCATCAGGTCTAAAAGACAGTTGGGTATTACCTCAGATTCCTTCTGAATCCTGTGTCCGTTTTGATGCTGAAACCAGAGCAGGCTTAGAGCACTCACCTTTCTTCATGATGTCTGCTTCCTCATCATCAGCCCATGGGGCTGTAAGAAAGTCATTATCTGTATGCATGTTTTGGTGTAACTGCACTCTCTCTCTCTCCCCCCCCCCCCCCGCCCCCGTGTGTGTGTGTGTGTGTGTGTGTGTGTGTGTGTGTGTGTGTGTGTGTGTGTGTGTACATAGTTTATTTGTCCTAAATTAAACTTAATCTCTTCTCAGCTGCAGCTCTGAGAAACATCATAATCCCTACTCTACACAGGCAGTTCAGAAATGACCACGAGGAGCAGAATTGGATGTGAACTTGAAGTACCTGGCTCTAAAGTCCTATTAATTACTAGACTCTGCCACTTTCCCTAACAAAAGTAGCCAAAGAAAGGTAGTATTATATGACAGACTCTTAAAAAATGAAGTTGAATAAAAACATTGTTTTACTCACTTGGGGGATTCTTCAGACACTGGTGACCCCAAGTCACCAGCAGAGTTCTGTGTCATTTACTTTTTCAGTGATGGTCGAAGCACTCACCATCATGTCATTGTGGACACAGTCCAGTCAGCTACAACCATGTTGTGAGGCCTTGTGCTGTCAAGGTGTTCCTAAAGGTTCTATGAACAGAGCCCGGCATTGCAGGGGGCTGCATTAGCAAGCACACTCACGACCCTGTCTTACACAACTTGAGTTCCTCCCATTTTCCTCCATTTCAAGACCCCTTTTGATCTCTGCAACTGGCTGCAACATCCTAGGAGGAAATTGGAGGAAGTATTGTCCTTGTAATAAAACATCAAAGAAGAAAATGCAGAAGAAGTTTGGATATGTCGTTTTAAAACCCAGAAAGAAATAGTCAAAATGATTTCCAATTCCAGCTTCAGAGAGAGCTTTGGAGAAGTACGGGGTGTTTAGAATGGAAATATCTTTTATTCAAGTCTGCCATCTTGAGGTCAATTAGAGAAATACTGAGTCTTTTTAGAGCATCTATGCCATATAAAAACAATGTGGGATTTTTTTTTTTTTTTCGGGAGAGGGGAGGGCATGAAATAAGAATTTTAAAACAAATTCTAAAGTACAAAGTAAAACGAAGAATTACACCGAGGAAATGCACATCTGAAGCTCGTCAATATCAGCACATGGATGGGCAATGGCCATTGTATTGGATCACGGTTGTGCCCTCAGACAGAGACGGAGAGGAACACACTCACAGTAGAACACGTGCTGCAGTGAGGAAGAGCACTCTCCACTCAGTGAGGGTGCCAGCCAAGGTGCTTATTCCAGCGTCCAACTTTCAAGGAAACAGGGCTTTGGATTGGAGGTGCAAAGCAGCTGTTAGAATCAATGAATCAGTATTACTCCATTATTATTAACTAATTTATTACTAAATTATTATCAACTAATTTAAGTCTCTCAAATTTCCTTACTTAATACCTAATATCGCACCCCCTATCAGTGCCGAGGACTGGACCCCAGAGCTTGCACATGCCAGATAAGCACAAAATAGCAGCACTACACTCTGAGCCCCCAATGTCCTCTTGCTGTCCCAGAATCCCACCTAGACGACATGCATTCATTATTATGTCACTGTCATCTGTTCTTGGGTATGACAGCTGTGGCTTGTTTCCAGTCACCACCGTAGTTTTGAGGGCTTCCAGATGTCTTGCCACTACTCTCTGCTTAATGGTTCCCCCGTGTTTCAGCAGGGGCTTTGGAGTTCTGGGGAGGAAAAGTGCAAGGGTGAAGCTTCACTCTTACCCCATCTCAAGGCAAATTCCATCAACACAACATGTACGGAGGTTATTTGCAATTCATTCAGAGATGTCTATTCACCCCCATTCACGTGTTTTCTTCATCTCTTATATTTATGACTATGTGGGCTTATAAATATTTACTTTATACATGGGTTACAATTGAGTGCTACTAGATGGGGTGGTTGATCGATTGACACAGCATCTAGTCACGTACCCCAAGCTGGCTATATAGTTAGCCTGGCATCAGACTCCCAATCTTTCTGCCTCAGCCTCCTGAGTGCTGAGATTACAAGCACATACTGCCAGTTTTCTCTTTCCTTTCTGGTCCTACATAGTGTTTGAGGCACATCTCATGTATTTCTTTGCGACAGTTCTTAGTTCAGTCAGTGTTTTAAGAAGCGCTGTTACTGGAAGCCAAAATTTGAATTGTAGGTAGCTGTGCATATTGCTACTGTAGGGTCATTGCTTCTTGGCTTGCTCAGCTGAGCTAACCAGATTCTTCCATTCTCATTCATTATCCTTAGATCATTCTAACCTTCTCCCCTTGCTATACACAGATTTCAACCTCGCATAGTGGTAATTCTGACTCCTAACTGCACACACACACACACACACACACACACACACACACACACACACACACACACAGTCTTCATGGAGGAAAAACATGTCAACTGAACTGCAATTGATAGCTCTGATTCTTATCAGTAAGCACTCTTAAAATACACCCTCTATGAATGAAAGGAAATATTTGTGAATATTAAATTCTAGAAAATCTTTGAATTCACAATGATTGTCCTAATCATTTGAAAGTGATCAATGGCTGAAAGATAATCATGTCAGTGTGTTTAACTTGTGTTATTTACCCAAAGTAGGTTTGAAATACTAATCAAGTAGGCAAAGTCTCACATCAACTTACCTGAAGTTTGGGAAATTGAGGGAAGTCTAGTCTATCTTATCTTATATTGATCTGCAAGCCTTGTTTCATACAAGTATTGTGTTAAGTGCTTTATTATATTGTCCAAAGATATTTCTATTTTAATTTACTGTTATTTTAAGATGGTAGAGTGGACAAAGCTTCTTGTAGTGCAAGACTGGTGTCATGAGTTTGATCCCTGAAACCTGCATAAAGATGAAAGGAGAGAACCAACTCAACAAAGTTGTTCTTTGGCCTCCACATGTGCATGGAGAGGCACATGTGCACCCCTATCATACACATAATAAATAATAATAATACAATAAGAGTCAAATTACTTTTAATAGTTTTGTTTGTCTGATATCTCATCTAAACATACTCAGTGACCGGTGAGGTATTTAAAGATACTTTCTAAATAGACGTGATCATCCTCACATAATCTAAATTAAATAAAGGGTCTGGAATGTACAATTTAGCTGTCACTGCATTTTTTACTTTAAATGTCATAAATTTTAATAAATAAACATTTAAAATGGACACTGATTATATTTAATTTAATATATACACATACAAATACCTTTTAATTCTAGAGAAGCTATGAAAGAAATGGTAATTCATTTAATTCATAAAACAGGTTAGGATGATTTAAAGTAGGAGAAATTTAACCCCACTTTTGAACAAATCAAAATATTATACTAATAGTATTTCCATGTGGTAATTTTAAAATCATGCCAAAAATCTTTTATCTTGAAATTCAGAACTTTCCTTACTTATAGTTTTTAAAACTATAGATAAGTATATATAAAGACTGTTGTGTAAAAGACTACTTCCAGAACTTATGAAAATAAACCCAACCTATTGCTATTTATCTGTATTAGATATTTTTTTTTTTTTTTTTTTTTTTTGGTTTTTCGAGACAGGGTTTCTCTGTGTAGCTTTGCGCCTTTTCCTGGAACTCACTTGGTAGCCCAGGCTGGCCTCGAACTCACAGAGATCCACCTGGCTCTGCCTCCCGAGTGCTGGGATTAAAGGCGTGCGCCACCACCGCCCGGCTTGTATTAGATATTTTTACCGTGTGTGAAAATGAATGGTTTTAGGTAATTCTTCAAAGTTTATAGGAAAGAGAAAAAGCAAGTAGAACAAAAACATGTTATGAAGGCCCACAATTAAAAAGACATTAGTTACTAATCCTTGAGGGATAGACACAAGGAAGAGGACAGCTCCTGTCAGGTAAAGTGGCCTTGTCTTTTAGGTAAGAAGGGAACATTTCTCTCCAAGATTTCTTTACCTTTTCCATACAGCTATGTTAAATGGACAATTGTGTTCATGTCCAAAGCTTACAAAACGATCCCTGCAGGTCCACACAGTCCCTTGTAAATCTCCCCTATAAGACTAGTATACAGATAGCTTTGTGCTCAGGAACCATGGTGGAGGGGCAGAAGCTGGCCTGGAAGAAGGGCACTTTAGATTGAGGTGATTCCACAAGGACTAAATGGTCCTACCTAGACGGATGGCATGTCTATAACTTTGTTTCCAAAATTTGCCAAAGGGACCAGACAACAATATATAGGACCAGAGACAAAACAAAACAAAGGCATACATTCTCAAGAACACAAAGACAAGATCGAGAAGTTCCTAAGGAAAAGGGTAGCCCACTTTCAGTTGTGTGCTAGACAGGGCTGTTGCTTAGTCATTCCCAAGCTTTAGGGATTGGCATGTACTGCAGTTCCCAAAGGCTAAACTGGTAAAATCATAACCTCAGAACTTTCAAACCCTTTACTAGTGTGCCATCCCAAACTTGATTCTTCAAACCGTGGCAAATGGTCAGGCAAAAGCACCATGTGTAGAAAATAATGTTCTCAATGAAAATTTTAAATTATATCAGATAACAACACCCAAAGAACCCTACTTATAGGAAAACAAAATGAACCCAATTCAAGAGGCCTTCACAGAAGTATCAGAGTTCCTGGATAGTGTGAATTTCTCACTCTGATAAGGGCAGATAAAGAGCAGAGGAGAGGGAGTTCAGATGTGCACATAAATACTGATTTGAGGGTCCTAGTGCAGGCAAAGAAGGTCTCAGCTGAGTCTCAGCAAAGGTTCATTTTTGTCAAGGGTTACTGGGAACACACTAGAGTTAAATGAATTGAGACATGACTCATTGGAGTGAGAAAAAAATGCACACAACAGAGAACCACAGGACATTTGAACCGGACTTACTAGAAAGAACTTGCTATGGTATCCAGTAGATGCTTCAGGAAGCAGGGGTGTGCTCTGGAATTAATGCTGAAAGAAACATGGCACTCATGACTGGGTGTCTCAATAACTGTTATGCATAAAGAGAGAAGGCTGGAGTGAGGCAGGTACCTGGAAGAGAATGCAGCAGTCACACATGGTAGTGAGGATGGAGATATGCTGGGACCATTTTTATCATTTGGATCATTTTTTTTTACTATGGGGCCAAGTGAAAGTTTACATCTCTGCCTTATAGCTGTTTATAGGAATGAAATAAGTTGGCAAAATACCTATATTACCATCTATGTTCAAAGATAAGATTAGAGAGGGGCCCTGTTTTATTTTACAGTAGTCACAGAGTAGTCTTCTTTGATCCTGGTATCCTGTGAAGTTGTTTGTTTGAAAGGAAGACATCAAGGCCAGCTTCTAGCAACTCCAAGGCCTGTGACAGTACATACCAAGCAGCTCTCAGATGACAGGGGCTACTTTTATCTTTCTTTGTCAATATCCAGAACCTAAATCCAGGGAGACATGTAGGCAGGCAGATAGATGATAGACAGACAGATGATAAATGGATATTCCTAGCCAAGGTTTTATTTTAAAACCATGAGTAAAACACATGTAAAAGGTGTTTTAAGATTTTAGTGTGTATGAATGAGTGTTTTGCCTGCATGCATATATGCATGCATTACCTGTAGAGGCCAGAAGATAGCATCAAGTCCCCTAGACCATGTAGGTGCTGGGACTTGAACTTGGGTGCTCTGAAAGGGCAGCAACTGCTCTTAACCACTCAACTATCTTTCCATCCTGTAAAGGGTATTTTGATGGAGCTACTGAATCAACAATGAAGATTTAAAATTTCTAAAAAGTACCCATGTTCTCATGGGGCTTACCCAAAACAGATTGAACTCGAAGTTGGATTGAATATTATTAGTATCAGAACATTTGAATGGTTAATTCTATGTATCCACTTGAGTGGGCCATCAAATAAGGACCTAAACATTAGCCTGGGCTGTCTGTGTGGCTACTTCTAGATGAGACTTACATTTGAATTAGTAGACCGGGTAAAGCAGATTGCCCTCCTAATGGGCCTGTCCAATCAATAAAACATGTGAATAGAGCAAAAATGGTGATTTAAGAGGGGACTCCCCCTACCTGAGGCTCTTGCACTGGCACATCTGTCTGCTGCCTTCAGACACAAAGTGAAACATCACCAGCTTTTAGACTAAAACTCTGCCATCAGCTCCTCTGGCTCTATAGTCCATTGACTGAAAATGTAGGTATGGGGGCTCTGGCTCTGCCTGTCTGTCTCTTTGTCTCTGTCTGTCTGTCTCTTTGTTTCCATCTGTCTGTCTGTCTGCCTCTGTCTGCCTGTCTGGCTGCCTCTCTCTGTCTCTCTATATATTAAATAGTAAGTTACATATTGATAGTACTGGTGTGAGTCCTATGTGGGAAATTCATCAAATCATTTCTTGAGTCTTTCTCATTTTAGGAAATATGTTAAAAACCCAAAGTAAGAGTTAAGGGCACTTTTCAAGAGGAAAAAGAAATGAATTTTTTTTTTCTTTCTTGATGGAAACTGTTTTTAATGTTCTTAAACCAAAGAAATTTCTACAGCTCCACAGGGGTGATCCCTTTAATGGAGGGATGTGCTCAATTGACAGGTGCTCCCTAATGCACAGGCTGATCGATTTCACCGACTGCTGCAGGCCCAAGCTTCTTGATGGGGACTCTTTCAAGAGATTACAAGCTCAGGGCAGTTCAACTTCCTGAGATATAAGTACAAAACTTTCAGAAATCTCAGCAGTATTATAAGCAAATGCCAAAGATGCATTTATGAGGCAAAAGCTCACACAGCACATCATACTGTTAAAGAAAGGGACAAATAATTCATAAGCAAATGTTCACACTTAGTTTCCACTGTAAAATCAAGGCTGAGTTATATGTGAGCTGATTTTCACTGACTAAGGCATTTTAAGGAATACATGTGCATAAATCAGTATGCTATCTGTGGCCCTCTTCGAACTCTAGGATCAATCACAGTGATTTGGACAGGACGTTTCCAAGCATTATGGTTTCTAGACAGATCATAAAGCTACCCTTGCAGTGATGTTTGGATCACTGAACAGAGTCCAGACACCTACATTCAAAAGCTTTCCACTTACCCACACATCTAGAGGCACAGCAGTGCCTTTAACTCAATGATTTTAGAGCCTGAGATACCAAAACATGAGTATCAATTTAAAAGAAAGTATCGATTTGGAAGTCATAGAACCCTAGGAGGTGGGACCAGACTCACTAATACTTGAAGAAGTAAATAGGAAGCAAGAGGGTTTTGTCAGTATGAAAACATCAATTAAAGTTACAACGGTCAGGGCAAATTGGTTATGAATTTGTGTATCAATCTTGGCATATTCTTTAAAATATTTCTTGTCCATTAGTTTATTCTCATTATGGGAAACAAAATCTAGACAGTCTAGATACTCTTATGAGAAACGTAGGTCCACTCTCTGCTGTGTGCTAACCAGGGATGCCTCTTAGAGTCCCTCACAAGCTTTAGGGCTTGCCAATGTAGCACTATGGTCTTGAAGATAAATGTAAACTCAAGAATCTCCCACAGGACCTCATCCCCTGAGAGATCCAAAGATGGTCTGAGGTCTGTGGAATTTCATATTTGGTTTGAAGAATTTAAGTCAGAACTGCATATGAGCAAAGGGTTTCCAAGTCCTGAGGTTGCCTTGCCTACATTTTTGTTGTAGGGTTGCGGGCATGCTAACAACTGAGAATACTTTTTCTTATAGTGCTGTTTGAGGAATTAAGCTGATTTATGCACTGCCTAGTTCATAGTTCAAGTGGTAGCCATCCCTCCCACTCCCAAGTAAATTGCATGCACAGAAGGAAGGGAGTAGACTCTTATATACGGCAGACTAACAATTTTCAAGTATTATATCCCAAATCCTTGCAATATCTCTGGGAGACAACTGGTCTTCTGTTGTCACAGGAAAGGGGAGCTAATACAACATAGTAAGGGGTAGAAGGAAATGCTCTGAACTGGGGAGGAGTTACCAATGTGAATTTCAGTTAAGTGGTTCATGAATCTATAGTACCAGAAAGATCATAAGGAGAAACTTATAATCATCTCTTCTAATAGTGACCAAAAACACAAGGAGAAATAAAATCTTTGAAACACTGCAGTTACAAATAAATCAATGTTTTACAATATTCTGGAGCCACTCTGGGGACGCTAGGAGTTAAATTGTCAGGTTTTGTCAAAGCAACCCAAGCTCTGAGCACATCTGGTCCTGGTACGTGGGGCTTAGAGCATCAAAGTGCAGTACCCTGCTGTCAGTGCTGAGAAGGGTCGGTTCCCCCTACTCCTCTCTTACCTGCAGAGTTGTGAGTTGCCACCTGGAGATAGCACAGCTCCACACCACCGAGGAGAAGGGAGTACTCCCAAGGATAAAGAGGGGCACATAAGAGCTCATGGGCTTTGGTCCAAAGAAGAACTGACTACGAAGAAGGAGTACCTATATTGATACCCCTAAGAAGGAATTATACAGAGAACATCTCTTCTATGACTAGCTTGATGACATTTCCACCTGGCTTTCCACAGTGCCTGGTCTCAGGCTGCTTCTCTTAGCTTACATCCTCCAGCTTCTCCAAGCAGACCTCAACAGCTTTCTCTGCCGTGACCTATGCACATGCTTCCAGCCTCTCTCCTCTCCAGGGATTTTTCTAAACCAAAAGGCTCCCCTTAATCTCTTCTAGAAATCCTGTAGATTTGGGATTCAGATGCCAAATTTCTTAACCAAAGCATGTGGGGGTCTTTTCTTCTTTTTATTAACTTTGACAACTGCCATATGCCTTCATGAGCTAGATTATTTCACATAGTTTAGAGACTCAAATGTTGTTTTCAAATTCGTATTGTAACCTCTTTTCACTTTTAGAACAAATATACTCCACAGATTTATTTTTCATGATTCACACACCAACTACATTTTAAAACCCAAAGCAGCAACCTTAATTAATTTCCTTCAAAGGACACAATATGTCACTCAGAAAATCGCCTTTGCCTGGCCTCCATCACCTAGGCATTAAGTATGAAGGGTGGAGTGCTATAAGGGACACATGTCTAAAATCTGATTATGGGGAGATCGCTATCAGTAAAGTGCCCCAAAATGAGACCCTGAGTTCAAGCCCCAAATTCCTGTAAAATGCCAGGTGTGAAGTGCACCCCTGCAATCCTAGCCCAGAGAGGTGGAGACAGGAGGATCTCCAGAGCTTGCTGGCCAGCTAAGCCAGCTTAACTGAAGGGCTCCAGACCAATGAGAGACCCTGCCTTGAAGAAAATACACAGAATTCCCAAGGGTGATGCTTGAGGTTGACCTCTAACCCCCCCTATACATACATATGTACCCACATATACATATATACACACATTAAAATGAAATACAGAAATATCTTCAAGAAAGACAACACCTTATTCTGAACTGGGCAACACATCAAATATCATTTGTGACTTCTGGTTTGCTGCGCAGTTATCAGTTAAAATAAGCAGTAGCCGGGCGGTGGTGGCGCACGCCTTTAATCCCAGCACTCGGGAGGCAGAGGCAGGCGGATCTCTGTGAGTTCGAGGCCAGCCTGGGCTACCAAGTGAGTCCCAGGAAAGGCGCAAAGCTACACAGAGAAACCTTGTCTCGAAAAACCAAAAAAAAAAAAAAAAAAAAAAAAAAAAATAAGCAGTAGCATCTTGGAGAAACACAGTTCCCTCTTCATCATGTAGTTGCCTGTGCTCCATTGTCTCTACTCATCTCTCACCTCTAAAGCAGAAATCATGTTTCCTAGACAGTTTTCAGCCAGAGTTTGGTGGCACCAATGGGAGGTACTTGCCCGTGACTTGGAAAGCTAAGCTGTGACAACACCATGGTCTAAACAGCCCCTTCTCTGTGTTCCTCAGTTCCCTGTGCCCAAGCCCTTAAGATGCTCCAGCGTCAGCCCCACTTCTGTACCACTCCTAAGTTGTATGTTAAATTCTTTACTTTAGAACACTCATGGGGACGCTGTTTTAAGGAATGACATCAAAAGCTGCATTTGTGGCTTAAATGTTAAAAAAAGGAAACATTTTATAAAAT